AACCTAAAGTGCTTCGAACGCCGGCACCCAAGCATCCTAGCAGGATCATTCGTACAACATGGGTTTTCAGGGATGGTGAATGGAGCAAAATTGAGGATAAGATTAACATCGAAGAACTCGATGTCAGGGCAGCAAAGCTAGAGGCTTACACCGTGATGTCAATCACGATCTTCGAGCGCAACCCTGAAAGCGAAGAAGAAATTCCGGACAGTGACCGGGAAGCAGATCCTCAAACCCCTGAAGAAAGACTCAGAGCCGAAGCCAAAAGCGTTCAACATCTTATGACTCATCGACCTAAGAACCCCTATTGCCCCGTTTGCCAAAGGGCCAAGATGATGGCACCGCATGCGCGGAAGCTCGGGGGATCATCGACTATCAAGTCTGACAAGTACGGTGATCACCTCACGATCTTAGGGACCGTGGTTTTGACGACCAAAAGGTGGGATTCGTAGTCAAGGATGTTTGCACCAAATTCAGGTATGTGTACCCTAATGCCACCAAAGAAGGTGAACAATGCTATGAAAACCTTTTGCACTTCACTGGGGTTGATGATGAGATAGGCGTAATCTACTCCGACAACGCCCCAGAGCTTGAATATGCCGTGAAAAAGTTAGGCGTCCGCCACAATACATCCCGAGAGTACAGTGATGAAAACAAGGCTGTAATCGAACGCGAGATCAGGACTGTGCTCGAAGGTACGCGTGCGGCGCTTACTCAGGCAGGGCTGCCTGACAAGATGTGGCCTTTGGCCGCCCAACACCGTTGCATTGCGTTGAATATAAAACTCAAGGGTTGATTGTGACGCCTCCCCATGGGAGAGCCGTTTTGGGGTTATCTTCGATGGACCTCAGATCCCTTTCGGTGCTAAGGTGTTATTTTGGAATAACCCTAAGCAAAACGCTGTGGAAGCCTCCAAGTTTGCACCCACTGGCCAGGAAGGTATTTTTCTCGGTTATCACATTCAGCCAGGGTTTGTGTTCAAAAGGGAGTATCTTGTTACCCCCGTCAAGGATGCCCTTGATAACATCGAAAACGGAACGTTTAAAACAATCCGAGTGAAGCGTATGGAGCTCCTGCCAGGCGACCTTACTTTTCCGTGCCAACAGGAGCAACTTGATTTTGACGACGCAAGGCGCGTCCCGACACTAGATGATCAGAATTGCTTTGCTCAGGAACAACCCGAAACAATCGACTTTTTCGAAGACCTCAAAGGAACCGAGCTCTATGAAGAGCTCATGGCCCCCATTAGGGA